ATTACAATAACCTAGAGGAATTCTAAGTACCTTTACTATGGTTCTGTGTGCAGAGGTGCAAATAACAGAAGCAAAACACTGTGGGAAGCCTAGCAAAAGCTGGAATGGGAAGTGCTTTCCCAAGAAGTGTAACCATTGGTGCAAGAACAAGGAAGATGCAGATTATGGCAATTGCTATCATGGAGATTGCTATTGCTATTACCATTGCTGAAAATAAATGGATCTGAATCTGGCACTATTTGTCTTATGTAATATATATATAGATAAATAAATGGTGCTATTACGTGGTTATAGCAGCTATGGCCATAATCTATATGGTCAATCTTAATGTCTTTGTTTACCTATGGTGCATAATATTTCACTTGTTAAGCAAGCCAACGTTAGAACAGTTTATCCATTTTTTTAACAATTCAAATAAAATAATAATAAAGAAACAGAAATAACTGAAATAAATTCTAAAGTAAAGTGCGGAAAAACATAACAACTGAAATATCTAATACAACCACGAATCTGGTGTCACAAGTGCACGAGCTACTAGAATACGACAGATAAAGGTCTGAATAAAAGTAAAGTTGTGTGAAAGAAAAATACACAGCTAAGATAAAGGAGGAGGGTACTTCAGGGCTGCGAACGCCGAGCAACTGTACCTCAAGTCTCCACACTGATAGTCAACCCGAGCAATCTACTGACCGCCGTGTAACGACCCGACCGGTCGTTTTGAGCATTTGCACTTCGCTCGGTAGTTTGAGGGCATGAGTTAGCTCTGTATGATGTATTACGATTTGTATTAATCATCGGTTTTGATTGTTTTTTCAGTTTTTTCGGAAGTGATTTGGAAGAATGAATTTCATGTTTGAAGCTTTAAGTTGGAAGAGTTGACCAAGTTTGACTTTTGTGTATTTGACCCCGGAACGGAGTTTTGATGGTTCTGTTATGCCCGAATGGTGATTTTGGACTTGGGCGTATGCTCGAATTTGCATTTGTATAATTCTAGAAGGCTTCGGCGCTAATTGGCGAAAGTTGGAGATTTGAAGGTTTGGAAAGTTCATAAGTTTGACCGAGAGTTGACTTTTAGAATATCGGATTCAAATTGTGCTTTCGGGAATTGGAATAGCTTCGTCATGTCATTTGGGACTTGTGTGCAAAATTTGAGTTTATTCTGGGTTGATTTGATATGTTTCGGCACGAGTTTTGGAAGTTGAAAGTTCATTTAGGTTTGATTTGAAGTGCGATTCATCATTTCGATGACATTATGCGTGATTTGAGGCCTCGAGTAGGTCTGTGTTTGGTTATGGGACTTGTTGGTATGTTTGGACGGGGTCTCGAGGGGCTCAGGTGAGTTGCGGACGTGTTTTACATCATTTTCCTTCATTTTGGCCTTGCTGGTTGCTGCTGGTGTCTGGTGCACCAAGTCTTCTTCGCGATTGCGAAGTTAGAAGTGCGATCACGTAGATGAAAAATCTGGAGTTGAGTAGTTCCTTTTTCGTGTTCGTAAGTAACTGTCCGCGTTCGCGTTGGTTTCTGGAGTTTGGCATTGCATTCGCATAAGAGCCACCACGTTTGCATATGGCTGAGCTTAGAGCTGGAGTTGGGAGCTTCTTCATCATGTTCGCATATAAAGGAACGCGGTCGCGGAGTGTGGGTGCTTGTGTGCTTCGCGTTCGCATGACTTAGTTCACGATCGCGTAGCATAATTGTGGAGGCAGTGTAGGTTATTCATCGCGATCACGATGGTTGTTCTGCAATCGCGATTCATTAATTTCCCTAGTGATTATAAAGTACTCTCTTTCGGAGGTTTCGGCCATTTTTACATATTTGGAGCTATGGAGCTTAGATTGAAGCGATTGTTGAGGCAATTTTCACCATATGGATTGGGGTAAGTGTTCTCTATTCTGTTTTGTTTATATTTCATGAATCTATCTTCATTTTAAGCATTTAGTTGATGATTTCAAAAGAGAAAGTTGAGGGTTTTTGACTAAATTTTCATAGAGCGAATTCTTGAGTTTTGAACATCGATTCGGAGTGGGATTTGAGTGAAACAAGTATGGTTGGACTCATAATTGAATGGGTTATCAGATTTTGTAATTTTGTCGGGTTCTGAGGTGCGGCCCCTGGCTTGCCTCTTTGGTTGACTTTGGGCTTTTGATTAAAGATTCGACCTTTATCATGTGAAATTATTCCTTGGGCTTCATTTGATGTATTTGAGTTACTTTTGGCTAGTTTTGAGTCTTTCGGAGGTCGGTACACACAAGATGGCATTTTTGGAGCATCGTTTCGCTTGCTCGGTATTGGATTTGGCTTGTTCGAGGTAAGTAACACTTTTAAACTTGGTGTTGAGGGTATGAACCTCGAATATACGTGTTATGTGTTTAGTGTTGAGGTGACAAGCATGTGAGCGTGCGCCATATGAATCATGACTTGGTTGTTTCTATGGTACTGTGTAGTTACCTAATCTTATCTGTAAAAGTGAAATCTCTACGTGGTAGAGTAACTGAGCTGTGATCCATGTGAGAAATAATGCGTAGGTCACATGCTGGTACTGTTGGGACCCACAGAGTTCGTGTTACATGTTGAATTAATTGCTTAAATTTGAAATTTATACTCGGTCACAATAATTATTTGCATATCATATCTCAGTCTCTATTGTCCTTTATTTATACATCATAGCATCACTGTTTGGGCTGATTATCATGATTCTTGTGAGCCCGAGAGACTAGAGAGATTGATGACTGAGTGAGGCCGAGGGCATGTTGTGAGTGATATTTATGGGATCGGGCTGCACACCACAGTAGTATTTATTGATTCATGCCAGGATTTGGCTTATTATAGCGCTTGTGCTGGATCAGCCCCTCTGATGTGTGCACATCCACAGTGAGCGCAGTTGCTATGGAATTTTGGGCTGGATATGTCCTGGATTCATTTTTATTGGGCTGGATCTGTCCTAGATTTATTTATATTTGGGCAGGATCTGCCATGTAGAGTATTGAGTGACTGAGTCAGCTGAGTATTGAGCATGGTGAGTGAGAATATGAGACAGTGGGATTAAGTACCCTGAGAGTGTGAGTACATGAGTTCATCACTGAGATGCATTGCATTTGACGTGCGTACTTGAGAAACAGGCATAGATATGCATTCCCTCATGCTACCCGGTTTTGGTGACATTCATGATTTTACGTGCATAATTACATGTAGTCATAGAGATGTACTTTTCTCATGTTATCTGAAAATGAAACATCTTATTTATTGTTGAAAGGGTTGTGGGAAAATCACAGTTTTCAAACTTACTCATATGTTTTGGTGTTTTTTGTGGAAGAATTGAGATTTACTGTTATACTTGAAAAGCATGCCTATTTTCCGTAACTGTGAACGAGCTGAGCATCTTATTTCTAAGTTATTTTCTTGTACCATTTTCATTATATTGTTTTGAACTGTGGCTGGTTATTGGAGTTGGAATCTGACCAGTGTCCCAGCTTATCACTACTTTCAACCTAATGTTAGGTTTGTTACTTATTGAGTACATGTGGTCGGTTCTACTCATACTATACTTCTGCACCTTGAGAACAGATGTTGCGGCGTACAGCGGGAGCTGGATCTGAAGATATACCTGCGTTCCAGTTATGGCTATCACTTGTCCTTGGTAGAATTATATCCGAATTCTGTTCATTTACATTTCAAAAAGATGTTGTAACTATTTCAATTCAGTCTTGTAAAAATCTAAATCTTAGAAGCTCATGACTTGTACTACCAGTCCTTGGAAAATTCATGTGTAAAAGCAGTTGTATTATTTTTTCTTCTCTTAATAAATCTCATAACATTGGATAGTGGTTAATTGGCTTACCTAACGGGTTGGGGTAGGTGCCGTCATGACTTGTTGGATTTTGGGTCATAACAAGTTGGTATCAGAGCTCAAGGTTCATAGGTTCTACGAGTCATGAGCAAGTGTCTAGTAGAGTACTTGTGGATCGGTATGATGACGTCCATACCTATCTTCGAGAGGCCATAGGGTATTTAGGATAAACTTCCCATATTTCTTTACTTTTCATGCGGCATTGATTCAACTTAAAGCATATCTCTTTGAATTCCTTCGGCGCATTCATGTGCACCTGTGAGTGCTCGATATCAGCTGTGCATCGACGGCTTGTAATTCTATGGGTGAGGTGCGAGGTGTCATTTCTATGTGCTGATGACAGACCAGTATGGAAGAATTGAGATCGGGTCTTGACTGTAGCTTGAGCACGGGGATTTCGATTGTGTGAGTAAGTGTTTTTGGACTTATATGTTCGGTAGTGTCCCTATGAGTGGAATTTGTTGCCCGATGAGTGGCTGGATGGCTACGTGATGAGTATGATGTGACTGCGGATGTGTTCAGATGGTTTGAATATTGATTCTGAGTTAGATTTGAGTGAAACTAGTATGGTTGGACTCGTAATTGAATGGGTTGTCGGATTTTGTGAGTTTTGTCGGGTTCTAAGGTGCGGGCCCGACTTTCCTTTTTGGTTGACTTTGGTTTTTTGATTAAAGCTTCGACCTTTATCATGTGAAATTGTTCCTTGGGCTTCATTTGATGTATTTGAGTTACTTTTGGCTAGTTTTGAGCTGTTCGGAGGTCGGTACGCACAAGATGGCATTTTTAGAGCATCGTTTGGCTTGCTCAGTATTGGATTTGGCTTGTTCGAGGTAAGTAATACTTTTAAACTTGGTGTTGAGGGTATGAACCCCGAATATACGTGTTATGTGTTTAGTGTTGAGGTGACAGGCATGTGGGCATGCGACATGTGAATCGTGACTCGGTTGTTTCTGTGGTACTGTGTAGTTACCTAATCTTATCTGTAAACGTGAAATCTCTACGTAGTAGAGTAATTGAGCTGTGATCAATGTGAGAAATCATGCGTAGGCCACATGATAGTACTGTTGGGACCCACAGAGTTCGTGTTACATGTTGAATTAATTGCTTAAATTTGAAATTTATACTCGGTCACAACAATTATTTGCATATCATATCTCAGTCTCTATTGTCCTTTATTTATGCATCATAGCATCACTGTTTGGGCTGATTATCATGATTCTTGTGAGCCCGAGAGACTAGAGAGATTGATGTCTGAGTGAAGCCGAGGGCATATTGTGAGTGATATTTATGGGATCGGGCTGCACCCCACAGTAGGCTTTATTGATTCATGCTAGGATTTGGCTTATTATAGCGCTTGTGCTGGATCAGCCCCTCCGATG